AAACCGCACCGCCGCATCAACCCAGCGCAACCCAGCGCAACCCAGCCCTCGCCCCTCGCCCTCGCCCTCGATCTCGCATCCGTGCACTTACCACCCACTCGTCGCCACCATCACCGCCGCCACCTCAGCTTATCCCCGGCTGCTACCATTCGCGACCGACGGCAGCGACGACCCAGAAGCGCAAACCGCGGCGACGACGACGACGACGACGACGACCGACGCTTCCATTATCGCCCCAGCCGGACGCACACTCCTCTTGGGCTCAGCCGCACAGTCCACCCTCGCGCCAGTTCATTCCTCCTCGATCCTTGCAAACCCAGCGAGCTCCTCGGTCGTCTGGCTTGCTGGCAGCATTTCGCGCAGCCTTGGCTAATTTCGTGCTTCGACCACCCGAGGCGCCACCAGCACCGAGGTAGCAGGCAGGCCCTTGACTACTGTCATCTCGGCGAGCCGCTGACCCGTCGCATCCACTAGCCGCTGCCCCCGCCGCCTCCCAGCGCTGCTTACAGGCCCACACCGACACCGACGTGCCGCAGCAGCGGAAAGCCTTACAGCTCTGCCCGCGACCTTTGCTCTTCACAACCACAGCCGCCGCCGCCGCAATCCCTGCCGTCGCTCTAAACTTCGACGACCGGCCACAGGACGACTGAACGCTGAAGCAAGGAACCGCAGCGCAGACCGATACGGAGTCCTTCGACTGCCGACTGCAGCCGTCGAACCCGCAAAGCGGCAGAGCAAGGCGCAACGCCAAGAGGAACACTCGCAGAGTACTGACCAGTGTCTGACCGAGCCAGTCCGCTCCACCACCAACGACGACGACGACAGAGAGGCCCAAGATGGTGAGTGCTCCGCTCGCTGTCCCTTTGCTCGACCAGCTGGAGTCGCCTCGGTGCACAACCGGTCGGCCAACCTGGCAGGCTTCTGTCATGCCGGACTGCAGAGTATCGGCTGACCCCTGGATGCATCCCACGCCCTCGTCCGGCCCCGCCGCAGGACCCGCATCTTGATCCGGCGACGGCCATCGTCAACCCCGAGAGCGAAAAAGTGATGAGCCCAATGGAGGTCGAGGAGCCGGTATCGGTGTTGGATCGTGAGTAGCCCGTAGCCCGTAGCCCGCCGCGGCCGCCATCGTCGCGACCATCCCGTCGTCTCCATGAGCACCGGCAGCTGACCCGCTCCTTGGCTTGCCTCGCTTGGCCTCGATCCCTCACTCCACCCCTTCTCCCGCCCCCTCCTCCTCCGACGATCGTCCAGACCGGGCGTTTGCGGAAAAGCACCTGGCCGACCTCGGGCAAGAGGAGGAAGACTTTGCGGTCTGCACATGGCGGATCGAAAACTGGCGGCAGCTCGACAAGCGCATCACCAGCCCCGAGTTTTCGTGCGGCGGCCACCGCTGGCGCATCCTCCTCTTCCCCTTTGGCAACTCCAACGGCCAGCCCAACGACATGGTGTCGGTCTACCTCGACTACGCCGACCCCAAGGGCAGCCCCGAGGGCTGGCACGTGTGCGCCCAATTTGCCCTCGTCATCTCGAATCCGCACGACCCGACCATCTTTTCGACCAGCCAGGCGCACCACCGCTTCACGGCCGAGGAGATGGACTGGGGCTTCACGCGCTTCAACGAGCTGCGCAAGCTCGCCATCCCCACCGACGGCCGCAGCCGGCCCATCATCGAGGACGACTGCGCCAACGTCACCGCCTACGTCCGCGTGCTCAAGGACCCCACCGGCGTCCTGTGGCACAACTTCATCAACTACGACTCGAAGCGCGAGACGGGCTACGTCGGCCTCAAGAACCAGGGCGCCACCTGCTACATGAACTCGCTGCTCCAGTCGCTCTTCTGCACCCACTACTTCCGCAAGGCCGTCTACCAAATACCCACCGAGGGCGACATCCCGACCGACAGCGTGGCGCTCGCGCTCCAGCGCGTCTTCTACCTGCTCCAGACGTCCGACCAGCCGGTGGGCACCAACGAGCTGACCAAGTCTTTCGGTTGGAAGTCGCTCGACAGCTTCCTCCAGCACGACGTCCAGGAGTTTAACCGCGTGCTGCAGGAGAAGCTCGAGACCAAGATGAAGGGCACCGCCGCCGACGGCGCCATCAGCCGGCTGTTTGTCGGCAAGATGCGCAGCTACCTCAAGTGCGTCAACGTCGACTACGAGTCGTCGCGCTCCGAGGACTTCTACGACGTCCAGCTCAACGTCAAGGGCATGGCGACGCTGGCCGACTCGTTCCGCGACTACATCCAGACCGAGATGCTCGAGGGCGACAACAAGTACCACGCCGAGGGGTACGGCCTGCAGGACGCCAAGAAGGGCGTCATCTTTGAGCGCTTCCCGCCCGTCCTCCACCTCCAGCTGAAGCGGTTCGAGTACGACATCGAAAAGGACGCCATGGTCAAGATCAACGACCGCCACGAGTTCCCGCTCGACATCGACCTCGGCGCCTACATCGACCAGGACTCGCCGGCCAGCCGCGAGCCGTGGCGCTACCGCCTCCACGGCGTCCTCGTCCACTCGGGCGACCTCCACGGCGGCCACTACTTTGCGCTGCTCAAGCCCGAGCGCGACGGCAAGTGGTTCAAGTTTGACGACGACCGCGTCACGCCCGTCACCGACCGCGAGGTGCTCGAGGACAACTTTGGCGGCGAGATCTCCAACGGCCACCTCGGCGGCCAGATCGGCGCCCGCGCGCCCGTCCGCGCCATGAAGCGCTTCACCAACGCCTACATGCTCGTCTACGTGCGCGAGTCGCAGATCGACGAGGTGCTGCGGCCCCTGGCGCCCGAGGACACGCCCGCCCACCTGCGCGAGCGGCTCGAGGACGAGCGGATGCAGCTCGAGGCGCGGAAGCGCGAGCGCGAGGAGCAGCACCTCTACCTCACCGTCAAGCTCATCACCGAGGACACGTTCCGCGGCCACCAGGGCTTCGACCTCGCCACGTTCGAGGAGCGCAACCTGCCGGCCACCGAGCTGCCGACGTTCCGCGTGCTCAAAAACGAGCTCTACCTCAACTTCAAGAGCAAGATCGCCGCGCAGTACAACCTGCCAGAGGAGTCGATCCGCATGTGGGTGCTCGTCAACCGGCAGAACAAGACGGTGCGACCGGACACGGTGGTGCCCGAGACGGACCCCAACCTCACCCTCGAGACGGTGCGCGACCGGATGGCGTCGCGCCAGCACGACCTGCGCCTCTACCTCGAGATCCTCAACGGCGACATCCCCGCCGCGGCCGGCCAGGCGCAGGCGCAGGCGCAGGCGCAGCAGCAGCAGCAGCAGCAGATCGCGGGCCAGCCGGCCGGCGGCGACGCTGCGGCGGCGGCCCCGCCCATGATGATCTTCCTCAAGTACTTTGACACGTCGCGCCAGACGCTGCTCGGCGTGGCGCGCGTCTACGTGCAGCGCAACATGAAGGTGGGCGACCTGGTGCCGACGATCAACGAGCTGATGCGGTGGCCGCCGACGACGCAGGTCAAGCTGTTTGAGGAGATCAAGCCGGGCATGATTGAGCAGATGAAGCCCAAGGCCACGTTCGCCCAGAGCGAGATCCAGGACGGCGACGTCATCTGCTTCCAGATTGAGCTGTCGGACAAGGACGCCCACGACTACGAGTCGCAGTCGCTCTACTCGAACCCGATCCAGTTCTACGACTTCCTGCAGAACCAGGTCAAGGTGCTCTTCAAGCCGCGCTACGACGACGTCGAGTACCGCGCCGAGTTTGAGCTTACGCTGAGCAAAAAGATGACGTACGACATGATGGCGGCCAAGGTGGGCGAGCGCCTCAAGCACGACCCGTTCAAGCTGCGCTTCACGACGGCCAACGGGCCCAACGGCTCGCCCAAGACGGTCCTCAAGCGCACCGCCAACCAGAACGTCAACGAGATCATCTCGCCCAGCTACATCCAGGGCCAGGCGTCGCTCCTCTACTACGAGCTGCTCGACGTCAGCATCATTGAGCTCGAGACGAAGCGCAGCCTCAAGATCTTCTGGACGGGCGCCAACAACCGCGAAGAGTCGGTCCACTCGTTCCTGCTGCCAAAGACGGCCAACATCAACGAGGTGGCCGACCACCTGTCGAAGCTGGTCCAGCTCTCGCCCGAGGGCAGCCGCAAGATCCGCGTCTTCGAGGCCATCCAGAACGGCAAGCAGCAGCGCGAGTTCCACGGCACCGACATGATTGGCAACATTGGCGAAAGCGTCGAGATCTTTGCCGAAGAGGTGTGGCCCGAGGAGCTGGCGTCGGGCGAGGACGACAAGGTCATCAACGTCTTCCACTTTACCAAAGACGTCGGCCGCACCCACGGCGTGCCGTTCAAGTTTGTCGTCAAGCGGGTGAGTGGTGTGCGCTGTGGACGGGCAGAAGAGAAGAGGTGTGGGGCCCATGGCGCCGAATGGACGAGCTCAGCAGCGGACTGACACCCTCGTGACCTCGGACTTGCTCGCCTGCTCGTCGTTCCCCTCGCCTTCCGATCCCGAATCCAGGGCGAGCACTTCACAGATACCAGGAAGCGCCTCCAGGCGAGGCTGGCGCTGTCGGACAAGGACCTGGCCAAGTTCCGCTTCGCGCTGGTGCAGTCGAGCACGTACAAGCAGCCGACCTACCTCGAGGACGACGACGTGCTGTGAGTGCCGGCCCGCCCGTCGGCCCTGGCGCGACGCTCGCGCGGTCTTTTTTATGATCGAGTGTCGTGCCGCTGACCTGCGTCCCCATTGGCCTTGCCCTTCTTTCCCTTCCCTCGCCGTCTTCCTGCGCACGCACGCACGCACGCACGCACGCACGCACGCAGATACGACCACAAGTTCCTGCCAGACGACGTGCTCGGGTTGGACCACCCGGACCGAAGCGGCCGAGCGGGGCGGTACGGCAACGCCGTCGTCCAGGACCGCGGCATCCGCATCCGAAGCTGAGGCAGCCGGCAGCGGGCAGCCGGTAGCCGGCAGGCGGCAGGCGGCAGGCAGGGCGGGCGTGAGCAGCCGTCTCCCCCCTCCCTCTTCCTGATCATCCTCGGTCGCTGTGCTCGCCGTCGGGATCGGGTGGGTGCGCCCAGCCGTCTGGCCGCGGCCCTCATCGACCGGATCGCCTCCTCGGTCGTCTCTTTTCATCTTCTGCTGTACCCTGTAACATACACCACCACCACCTCGTCCTCGCTCCTCCCCCTCTCGCCCTCGTGGCCCTCGTGGCCTGGCCTTTATCCTCATCCTCTTGATCCTTTGTCTCTCCTCTTTCCCCCTCGCCGCCATCGCCTTCCTTCCTCGCCCGTTCCTCTTTCTTCTCCTCCCAACCAACACCCGATCGCGACGATTGCTCCTTGCTCGATCCCCGGGTCCTTGCGCTCCTGCCTGCCCTTCGGTGGATCGGATCGGTGCATCGATCTGTCGATCGGTCGGACACATCGATGCATCGGTACGTCGATCGAGGTTTTTGGACGTCACACTACGAGAGGAACGAGATAGAGCACGGGGTGATGTGGCGATGCATGGTGATTGCATGGTAGCTCGGTCAAGATGGGCGGAGGTGGGGGAGCGGGGGAGAATGTGCTCGCGACAAGGGGAGAGGACGAGGACCGAGGTCCCGTCTGCACCGCCCCCGAGCGTCGTTGGGAGCTGGCGTTTGATCGGTCACTGATACATGCACCGCCAGGTGCGGGCCAGCGTGCGAGCACGACGGCGGGATGAGGGGGAAGAGGGAGGGAGGGGCTCTCTCCCCTCTCCTGCCACTTCTCCCGCACCGCAACGGCAACGGCAACGGCAACCGCAACCGCACGGATACCGGTGAGGCTAAGCGGCCGCAGCAACCGCAACCGCAACCGCAACCGCAACCGCAACCGCCTTGACGGATCCACGACGACGACGACGTCCATACCCCTCGTCGAAGAAGAAGGAGAACAAGAAGAAGAAGAGAGCGACGACGACGACGACGACAAGAGAAAGAGGGACGAGACCGGCGAGGGCCGCTTCCAGACCAAGAATAGTCTCGCGTCGAGTTGGCTCTCGAGACGGGCGCGCAGGCCCGTCGGTCGAGGGACGCCACCGATTGCACTCAAGCCTTCCGGCCCCCGAGAGGCCATGGGCATCCTCCTTTCCCCGACGCACTGCGCGGGCAAATGCCCCGCAAGGTACGGCCGCGGAGCGACCAAGACGCCGCTCCCAAACGAGATCCGCAGTGGCAGCCCGATTCCATTCTCTATCCCGCAGCGGGCCGTCGATGGTGTGGGCGGGAGAACGGTGATGAACAAGGAAGGCAAGGAGGAAGAGGCAACGAGGCCCCGGTCCCGCCTTGCAAGCAGCGCGGGCCGATCGGCCCCCCTCCCCGGCCGCCCAAGCTGACGGCGGGCCAGACGAGGCAGCAATCAACACAGCCTCCGCGCAAACGGAGGGGTGCCCTACCGACCGAACAGGCGGCAACGCAACCGCAGCCCACGAGGGGCCACGGCCACATCAACCGTGGCAACGTCGTGCGCCCCGACAAGGAACGCCCCTCCCATAGGTGGCCAACGCCGCCCTCAGCCTCTTCCTTGCCCCCCCTGGCCGCACGACCGCCACCGCCCCTCACCGAAGAGAGGGGCAAGAGACGGCATGCGCGGGGAGGTGGCGTCTTGGGCCAAGAGGGCGGACAGTCGACCGGGAAAGACCATCCTATCTGCCGGGACGGGGCCTGGCACTACCCCGCCACCATGCGTCAGCTTGAGCGGCCGAGCCGGAGGGGCCGACCGACCGCACCACGCGGGCAAAAGACCGGCAATGACCTCGCTCCTCGACCACCGCGCCGATCCCTTCGCCGCCCCACCCGCATGCAGCACCGACGGCGCTGCGGAGCGAGATCCAACCATTTCTGATGCGGACATTTTCGAAAAGCCAGCGCCTTTGAGCTCGGAACGACTCGCCCAGCTAGAGCAGATGGCAGGGCGAGCAGCAAGAGGCCGAGGCCTCGCCACCCGCCCCGGGGATCTCGATACGGCCCCCGACCCGGACGATGCGCCGCGCCCCAAACGAGGCCGACGCAAGCCGGGCAGGAGAGGTAGGAGGAGTACGCGGACCTTCCCACTCGCGTGGACCGCGCCGGCCGAAGCCGACGAGGTCGAGGGCGAGTAACGGTGGCCTTTGGACTGGAAGCGGTGCAGCGCCGTGTCGTCTTTCTCTCTCTGTGTCTTTTGCTTCGCCGAAGCGTCGCCTTCTCCTCGTTCTTCTTCTTCTTCTTCTTCTTCTTCTTCTTCTTCTTCTCAGGGTGGACGTCGTCGAAGAATCGCAAGGGGGTCACGGATGCAGGCTCACCTGGTTGGCCGGTCGGAGGCGAGGACGAGGACGGCGAGACCAGATGCTGGCAGCTGGGGCAGATTGCCCGGGTCGGGGACAGAGGTCGGAGGCGACGGCTCGGTACGCTCGCTCTCTGCTGGCCGCGCCGCCGCGAAGACGAGTTTGAAACGTCGACGGCGGCGATGCGGCAAGGGCCGGCCGATGTCGACGGAGCGACGCGGCGCGACCCGCGAGGTTTGCCGGGCAAGGGCAAAGTTGGCGTTGCCTGGTCGATCCTCTGCCGTCCCGGGGAGGGGCCCAGCCAGCTAGCCGGACGGCAAGCTCTCGCCTGGCCGGGCCGGTCCGGCCGTCTGATGGGGTGCATGCGTGCGGAGTGAGAGAGGGTGGAAGGAAGGGGAGAGGGGGGAGATGGGGAGGAAAAGGGACGATAGGAAGGAGGGGGGGAGGGGTAGGGAGGGGCAGAGGACCAGGTGGGGATGGAGGTGAGAGGGGAGGGGTTGGGAGGAGCGCTCAGCTGCCGTCGCTCTCTGCCCCTCGCTCGCCTTCTCTCTGCTGGCTGGCCTGCAGCTGGCCTGAGCTGGCTGGCGACTGCCTGCCCGCCTTGGCCCGCCCGTCCGTTGTGGCTTTTTCCATTTTTTCTTTCGCCTTGGCTTGGCTGGCTGCGGTCCGAGGCCAGCGCTGCCCGATGCCGGCCTTGGGAGTTGCTTGCCCGATGCGACGGATTTTTTCATTTTGGGGCTCGGCAGCCGCCGGAAGGCGCGACTCTCCTGGTCAGACGGCCGACGGGCGCCAGGATGGCAGGCAGGCCAGGCCAGGCCAGGCGGGGCGAAGAGGGAGGCGGCAGGGGAGCGGCGGGCGAGACACACAGGCAGCCCTCGGGTGGGCCTTCTCCACCTTTGCGCCTGCACGCCGTTGAGCTCGCTCCGGTCGTCGACCAGCACACCTCTTCTCTCGACGTCCCCTTACCCCCCCATCATACCCCATCGCCATCGGCCGGCGCAACACCCCACTACCACTGCCAGCATAGTACCGACCGCTTCGACCGCTTCTCGGCTTGCCGCGTCGCATACGACCCCGCCCCTCTTGCTTGCTTGCTTGCTTGCCTTCCTGCTTTGCTGCGCTCCCGGGCCGCTGTCTGCCCCCGCCTCGTGCCCTCTGCATCGGCCGGTCCGACCGACGCTGCAAATGACCGCCCGCATTCGGCCCTTCCTTTGATCTCTTTTACGCCAACACGAGCTCATCGCCGTCGTCCGGGGCTGTCTGCGCGTGAGCCCTCACGTACCGCGTCTCTGCCACTTCCACGCCTCGAGAGCTTTCATCGGCGCCCTCTTTGCTCCTCCGCTCACCAGACCTTCTAGACTGCCGCTGAGCGCTTTCGACCTCGACCTCGACCTCGACCTCGACCTCGACCTCGACCCCAACCCCATCCGCC